GCGTTTCACCTAGTTCAACCTGGCATGGCCAAAATGAACATATCTCGTCCGTTCTCAGTGAGATCCTCATCGTTCCTTTTGTTCTTTGCTTCGGTTTGAAGCCATGGTCAATGCGCTTCTGGGAAGCCCTTACATGCATCAAACGGACAAGCGGTTCTCGTGTTACAGCACCATCCTTCCAACAACCATTTACATGTGACTTGTTCATGTCATATCTCGCCGACCGACGCACAGATTGCTCTCATCCCTTTTGCGCTGGGACGCCCTCGTTCACACCTTTCTTTGGACTCCCTGAACTCGCCAAACGGCCACGTATTGGCTGCGCTTCGCCTAGTTCAGCCTGGTATGACCAAGATGAACATGTTTCATCCGTTCTCGGCGAGATCCTCGTCGCCCCTTTCGTTCTTTGGTTTGTTTTGAAGCTACGGTCAATGCGCTTCTGGGAAACCCTCATATGCATCAGACGGACAAGCGGTTCTTGCGTTACAGCGTCATCTCTCCCAACAACCATTTCCCCATTCCTATTATCATAACCTGCTTGCATCGGACGTTCTATAGCCCGTTTTGAACGTTGGATTCGTACCTTTCCGACGCACCTATTTACGTCGATAACGGACGACAGCCTGGTCTGCAGTATGCATTTACTCCAGAACTGCAGTTTCTGGGTATTACCTCTCTATCTCGACAACCACGGCTCATCACGATACGCGAATTATACCGTTGGAAAGGCGTCGTTCGAAAGTTACGAACGACACCTCCCATTTCTCCCCCCCTTCATCACTCCCCCTCCCATCACTCCCCTTTCATCCATTCCCACCCCTCCCTCCATCACTCCCTCTCTCCTCCATCACTCCCTACACCCTCCCCCCTCCATCACTTCCCCTGTCTTCCTCCTCCCTTAAATATTGAAAGTAGTAAAAATAAATTGTGTAGTTTATTCAATACATTTCAATTTTTTCTGCTCAGCTATGACCATGGAGTAAAGAAACCATGATTCCATAATGTGGACTTAGGAATTATTCCATAAAGTCATTCCATGTGGATTCCATATGGAGTCCATATGGATTCCACCCTAAAAATAGTATAGGACATATGGAATAAAGTATGGAATCCATCCCCCCTTCCA